ACAACGTTTCCTGATTAAGAGCATGAGTTGATTCACCCTTTGTCTTTTAATAATTGTGCAAATTGGGGATCTGTGGGAGTCCAAACTAGCACATGACTGTGTCTGACTCCCTTGATAAATGGTGTGGCATCTGGCAGTCATGCTGTGATTTGGATAGCCCTGGTCTTCTAGGGTGCCAGTTACTGTGTCTTTGTGCATGGAAGTGCCTTCCTACATCCCCATGGGTGGATCTATGTTAACCTGTTCCTTCATGATATTATCCCTTGCCCTGTTTGGGATAGAATGTTCCATGGAAACACCTTTTGTGTGTCCCCTTCTCTTACTCTACCCTTGGGTGTGGCCTACCTAAATGTCAGTCAGCCTGCTGACAGCAGACATCAAGAAGCTAATTCGATCCTCAGCACCACATAACAATAAGTAAAATAAAGATATTGTATCCAACTACAACTAAGACAATATTTAAAAAAATATTTAAAAAAGAAGCTAGACTCAGCCCCCTAAAACCTGACCCCTTGCCTCATTTGAATAGCTTCTCCTCAATAAAAGGGGTTGGCACCTGTGTGCTCTCATTCTCTCTCTCTCTCTTTGTGTGTGCTCTCATTCTCTCTCTCTCTCTTTGTGTGTGCTCTCATTCTCTCTCTCTCTCTCTCTCTCTCTCTCTCTCTCTCTCTCTCTCTCTCTCCTCTCCTTCTCTCCCTCTCTCCCTCTCCACCCCCACCCTTAAGGTCAGAGGAGCTGTCATAGCACCCTCAAATGCAAAGGCATTTCTGTCTGTTGTGTGGTTATTTTGCATGGCCCAATTAGCCCAGTTCCCCTGGAGTGGCCCCTGAATGTTTTAGTCACATGCAACCTGACAAATGCATCCCTGGGTGGGCAGGGTGAAAGGTCACACTGTTTAAGTCTCTGGGAAAATGACAGGGATCCCTTTTCAGAACCTCAGTTTCCAGTATTTGTAAAATGGTCACAAGTCTGGCGCATACCAGGTGAGTACTCACTCATTATTTCCCATTATCAGGGAAGTGAACTCTTGAAAAGAAAGATGTGCTTTTGGTTTTTCTCTGAGTTTCTCTTTCTTGCATACCAAGTTTTTTTTTTTTTATGTTTCTATCATTTATTTTTCTCCTCAAAGCTCAAGCTCATAAAAGTTGTCACTGATGCCTGGGTCCCTTCCTATGTTGTTGAAGTGAGAATTTGAATTGAGGTGCACCCTCTAGAGTGTATCAGTTAGGGGCTTTCCAGAGACACAAAACTATTAGTGAGTGTGTGTGTACATGCATGTGTCTATTCATAAAAATAATTATTTTATGAATTTGAGGAACTGGATCACATGGATTTGGGGCTGTTAAGTCCATCAACCATAGGGAAGGCTGTAAGACTGAGAACTTGTTCAGGAGTTAATGCTTCAGGTAGAATTTATTTTATTTTATTTTAATTTTTTTAGAATTAGTTACACATGACAATAGAATGCATTTATGCACTTTGATATATTATACATAGAATTAGTTATACATGACAGTAGAATGCATTTATGCACTTTGATATATTATACATGATATAATTTCTCATTTTTCTGAGCATACATGTTGTAGAATCACATTGTTCATGCAGTCATATATATATACATAAAGTAATGAAGTCTGTTTCATTTTACTATCCTTCCTATCCCCACATTCCTTCCACTCCCCTCCCTTCACTTCCCTCTACCTAATCTAAGGTAACTCTATTCTTCTCTTGTACCCACCCCCTTATTGTGAATAAGCATCTGCATATTAGAGAAAACATTTGGCCTTTGTTTTGGGGGGATTGTCTTATTTTGATTAGCATGATATTCTTCAATTCCATGCATTTACCAGTAAATGCTATAATTTAATTCTTTAAATCTGAGTAGTATTCCATAATTTAATAGAAAGGAATTTGGAGTTTTGAAAAGGAACAAGGATCCTGTTCTTCAACTGTATCCTTATTGAACAGAAATGTGTCCATATGTGCACCCAAAAATTCCCTTGGAATTTTCTTAGCAGCAAGCAATTTGAGACATCTTAAATGCCCACGAATAACACAATGGATACACTAACTTTGTTGAAATCTCACTATGGAATACACATAGCACCAATGAATAAAATATTCCTACATACAATGATGTGGATAAATCCCACAGATATAATTTGGAGAAAAAGAATTCAGACATAGAATAAAGCTCCATGATCCCATTTATTTAACATTTAAAGGCCAGAACTAAACAGTTAGGAAGTAGCCTGTGCACCTATCCCTCTTCCTACTGGCGATAGCACCATGATTTTCCCTTGAGATTCCCATTTCTCCACAATTCTGGTATTTGACCTAAAGGGTACACTAGTGTAAGAAGCCACTTCCTGTTTCAGACTTGGTCTGGTGAACCAGTCTTGGACCCCAGTGATAGGTTCAGAGGTGGTCATGTGACCAGAAGCAGTCCAGTAGGAATCAAGTACCCTAGACCTTTGAATGGTAATAATGAGAAAGAGGAGATTTCTTTGGCCCTGAGGTTACTAAAGTGGAAACACATTTGCTGAGAATGGATGCTGGGTTTCAGCCAATCTGCTTGGTCTCAAATAGGAAGTTCCTGTCACCACATGTCTTATTATTTTAAAGGGAGGGCAGGGGGAGAAAATGCCCAGCAGTGGAACTTATTTGTTTGACCCTGGTCCTAATGACTTTCATCTTTGTGTCTTTCCAGCCAGAACTCATCCCTGGGAAGCTGGCCTGGGGCCTGAGAGCACCAGCTGCTTCTGGAAACAATGGACTTTGTACTTCACACTTTTCTTCTCAAAGCCTCCCACTGGGAGTGGCCTTCAGAGGCTAGGAACACTGTGTTAAAAATTCCTGTCACAGAGCTGAGGAGGCAATAGAAAAAGGGGGGCAGGTGCAACTTGAACTCAGTTAAGTGACTCCGGGGTCTTTCAGCCATCCTTACCCTGGAAAGAGCAGAGACTACGAATAAACTGGGCTTATTAGCACCTTCTAGCTTTCTGAATTGTTCACTTGTTTTCTTCTGAGAAGAGTGAGCCTGGGAATGACATTGGTTGGGAGGTCTCAATAACAACATATAAAAGGGAGACAGATGATACCTGGCTGTATTTATTGTACACTTACTATGTTCTGAGGTGTCTGCTCTATAAGTGACATTTAATTCTAACAATACCCTTGAAAAATAAGAAACAATGTTATTATTGTCTGAACTTTTCAGGGAGAGTCAGTAACTTGCCCAAGGTCCCAAAATTGGATTATGAGACTGCAAAAACCACTCCCTCACCTATAGGTCCAGGTGGTCTTTGTCAAGATGAGCTACATAAGTGAACAGAGCAGATGGTTGGGGGCAGGTGAACCTGCACACTGCTGCTTAGCCAGGTCATGTGTCCTTGGGCTACTTGTTCTTCTTCTAGTCTCTGGGCCTCTTTTCTCATGAAATGATGTGTCCCCATGTTTATACTATTCATGCTCCCTGTCAGCAACAGAATATACCAGTCTGGTACAAATGAGGATGAGCAGGGTTATGCAAATGAGCATGTCTTCCAGGTATTAGTTCACTCCAGAGGCTGAAGAAGTGAGAGACAGTAAGACAGGTTTCTGGAGCCCAGTTAAGGCTGGCACCACAGTGGCTGAGCCCCTGGCAGGGAGTGTCTTATCACTGTTGGGAATGGTGTTGAGTTAGGAAGGAAATGGAACAAATGCAGCCCTTTTCTCCCCAGTCACCTCAGACCTTGGGGAGAGGAATGGAGAATAACCAGGGTCACCTACCAGGGTTCTTGTGGAAATGACTGAGGCTATATATAGAAAGTACCTGTTGGCTGGAGCAAGCAAGTCAATTGTTTTCTAAGTGTTGATTCAGCATCAGGTACAGAAGGAGGCCCTGGGTGCTTGTTAGTACCATAGTATCATTTCTTTGAAAGAGGCAAAACAGCACCCAGGCAAAGGGAATAGATTCTGGCGCTATCTTCTCTTTTTTGTCTCGTTTATATATCACCCCAGGATATTCATTGACCTTATTATGCCCTATTTCCAAATCATCAATAACAGAAATACCTATACCTTACAGCAGTTTGAGAAGGATTAAATGAGTTAAAATATGTGAAGATACCTGGCCCTGGTCAGTCCTGAATAAGTGGGGGCTACTGTTGTAATACTTACATTCAGGAAGGGCTCTCAGACAGATCAACTGAATACAAAGCATGATGCATATTCTCAATATAAAAATTAGATACTGAATGGGAAGCAGAGGGAGGAAGCCTGTTTCAGTCAGGTGGGAGGAATAGGGCCCCTTTACAGAAGTGATATTTTAGCTGAGAGACATGGAAGATGAATGAGAAGCCCCCAGGCCCAGAGCGGAATGGTCTTGGCCACAGAAAGAGCAGGTGCAAAGTCGCTGAGGCAGAATCAACTTGGGATGTTCAAGAAACCTCCAGAAGAGCATCAAATTGGGGACAAGGTAATAGTTGTTATGGCTTGAATATGAGTTGTCCTTCAAAAGGTCAACACAGGAGGTGGGTGATTAGATTTTAAAAACTGTAGCCTAATCAGTGGATTGTTGGGTGGTAATTATAGTCAGGTCATGTGTGGTTGAAGGAGTTGGGTCACCACATATGTTCCTTGGAGGTTATATGTTATGTCCCTGGCTCCTTGCATTGTCTATTTCTGCATCACCATGAGATGAGTGGCTTTTCTCTGCCATGTTCTTATCCCATCATGCTCTGCCTCATGTCAGGCCCAGAACAACATTCAGCCAACCACAAACAGAACCTCTGAAACTAGGAGCCAAAGTAAACTTTTCCTCCTCCATGTTATTTTGGGTCATTGTGAACATCTAGAGCATTCGGGTCCCTGGGTAAGGGTTGCAAAATAACCAGAACACAGGGGATGCAGAGCCAAGGCAGCAAACGCAACTGCATGCTGAGGTTTATTTGCAAGTTCCTTTTATAAACTTCTTCTAACAAAGCAAGCATTCTTCAATATCACATTGCCCACATTGTCCAAATATCATGCCTCAGCGGATACAAGAGCTAAATTCAGACTGTTCCTTTTTGTTTGATAAGTGCCCTCCTAAAGTTCTTTGTAGACATTATCTAGTCCCCTGAGGATGCATTCGTTTCTTTAGAATGTACTGTTCCCAGGATAAGTATGCAGGAAGCTTCTTCCTCTTGGCCAAACCATGCAGAACTTGTGACTTACGATAAGGGGAAGAGAACGTTTCCTCCTCCTAACTGAGGTTTGCCTCAGCTGACCTAAATCATAGCCACAGCTCTTGCAAAATGTCAGGCCTGAGGGAGCTAAACTCTGTACACTTAAACCCCAACAATTCCTTCTTTTTTCTTTTGTTTTTCTAAAACAGCTTTCCACAAAGTTAATATAGAGTTTTGAGATGGTCTTATGCACATGCAATATATAATTATAAACAGGATAATAACTAAGCATAACACTATTCCCACTCCTCCAGCTGTATGGGTAAGACTTTGAGCAATTCCTTTGGGATCTAATCCCTCTAACTGTTTTAAAAACAATTCAGCTATTTGTGCAGCAGCATCATGTTGAAACCCTTTTCCCAAAATTTCAAATATATCCTTTTGTAAAGAATCAATCATTAATTGAGCTGTATCATTACCATGGAGATAATTTTGTATGATACTCCATTCACGTAAGCTTTGATTATATTGTATATTAGTTACACAGAAAGAAGTTGAATTCCATTCACATTTTAATCTAATTTCTTGTTCTAAGGTGAGTATCTTTTTTCCTAACCAATTAACTGTCTGTTTTAAAATATCTATTTGAGTTTGAAGTTTAGAATCAATTTGAGTCTGGGATAGCCATAACTCATGCGAATCTTTATGCCATTCCTCAACAAAATGTTTTGTTTGTAAAGAAGTATGTAAAGCTATCCCTGAAACTGTAGCAACTGTAGTCACTGCAATAAGACTTAGAATTACAGCAACAACAACTCCCACAAACCGTTTAGTATGTTTTAACAATTGTCTAAATAATTCCGAAACCAAAGTATTTACAGGATCTTGGGACCATGGTCTTTGTAAATTTACAGGAAGCCAAATGTGAGAGCGCTGTTGTAACAGCACAATGGAATAACCAGAAGGAATAGAAACAGATGTATTAATACAGGTATACAATTTATAATTAAAGCATAAAATTCCCTCATCAAAAGTAACATTTCCAATTAAGAACAGGTATGGCATGGGCACACATGTGGTTATATTATATTCTTTAAATATAGTAAAATTATAAGAAGCAGCAGATTGACTAGTCCCAGAGAAAGAGCCATTAGACAAAGTTACAGGTTTAGTTGCAGCAGCAATTTTCCATAAATGTGTTTGTAAATGATGAGGGTACTGCACTGAAGCCAAGCGTGGATCAGCAATTCCGCCATCACCCCAGGACATCAATTTGTCGTTCTGAATGGTTTCATTCCATCTCTCTTTCGGCGGGATTCTGTATGTAGAAGATAAATCACAAGCAGTAATATTCCATTCTGAACAATTTTTTAAGAACATCCGGTAAGGACCCCACATGATAATATTCTGAAATATCTTCCCAAATTTGCCTAAACATTCCTGGATATGAAAGGGGAGTATCTCAAGTCCTGATAAGTAAAATCAGGGCACTCGGGGAACATAGGGTATTTTTGTTCAGTTATATTATCCCAGGTCATATTGACGGACCATGCAGACAACAGTTGTAAACGTGTTCGAGAACTGTTACTCCAATTTCCAACTAGTGTCCAATGTTGCCAATCTAATTGCAAGCAAGGAGGAATGCCCAAGCATATAGGTTTACTGTTATTATTCTTATAAGTAAAATTAAATGGTGTTCCATCATTAATATTCATATATGTTAAATTGTTCCAAGGGGGAGATAAAAGAGCAGAAGTATATAAGGTAATATCCATGTCACCCCAAGTAACAGGTTCCAGCAAAGGTGGATTGGGAATATAGGCCCAATAGTGAGTATTATTATTTTGTACCTCAGAAGCGGAAGACACTGTCAATAATGCACACATAGCCAGAAATAAATTTTCTGGGGTGCAACTCTTCCCTGTTCGTTGCAGCACCTTCTGCCCTTCCCCACTCAGCTTTTTAATTTGTCCCCACGTAGGTAAGGGAGAAAAATTAGGACGTCGACGACGTCGGGCCCCAAGATGAAGACGCGCCATTGCTGCCACTGGAACATCAAGTTCAGGATCTTGTTTCCTCGACTGGCGTAGTGGATAGGGTGCCCCCCTTGGTGCCGTTCTGATTGTGACGGGTCTGGATCCACCGCCCTGGGAGCCACTGCCAGTGTCCATTTTCTGTTGAAACATAAGCATAGCTCTTTCCTCTATAAAGTAAAATCCCTGGCTGCCATTCAGCATCTGCCACAATTTTTATCCAAATTGGTTCATGAACTGTTTCTAAGGTTTTTTGCTCAAAATGTTGTTCTGCTCTTGTCAATATTTCTCTTTGTGGAAGATTAAGAAAATTTAAAATAAATAAGGCTTGATGTAACAATGCTTTAGGTTGATTTTGTAAATGTTTAAACAAGTGCATATTTAAATCTGTCATTTTCCTCCTTTTTAATTTTTTAATTTGTGTTTTAAGCATAGCATGTACACGTTCTACTAAAGCTTGTCCTTGTGGATTATATTCTATTCCAGTTAGATGAACAATATCATATAATTTGCAAAAATCTTTAAAATTTTTACTAGTATAAGCCGGACCATTATCAGTTTTAATCATAGCAGGAATTCCCATAATAGCAAATGTTTCCACTAAGTGTTGAATAACATGACGGGTGGTTTCTCCAATTTGAGCGGTAGCCCACAAAAATTTAGAGTATGTGTCAATAGTAACATGAACACAAGAATAACGTCAAAACAAGGGAACATGTGTAACATCCATTTGCCATAATTCATTAGGTTGAATCCCTCTAGGATTTACTCCAGAAGGTACAATCCTAAGATGTAAAGGTCGACAAACTGGGCAATTTTTAATAATTTGTTTTGCTTGTTTATATGGAATCTTATATTTAATGTGTAAATGTCCGGCATTAGAATGAAACAGATTATGTTCTTCTTGAGGAGTTTTGAACATCACTAATTTGTCTACCTGAGCATTACCATATGTCAAAAATCCTGGTAATTTAGAGTGTGATCTAATATGATCTATAAATATGCGAGCATTACGAGCTTGTAAAAGTCTTTGTAAAGTAAGAAAAAGATTTTGTAGAGTAGGTTTATTAGAATAGGCTACTGCAGTAAATATATTTTTAACTACTCCCATCGTGTATGCAGAGTCAGTAAGAATGTTAATGTCTTGATTATCAAAATCATTTAAAACTTGAATGACTGCAGATAATTCATTTGTTGAACAGATTGATAGTTTGTTATTTGAACCCAATATTGATTCTCTGTCCAATAAGCACTTTTAGTTTTTGATCCATCAGTAAACACAGTAACAACATTGTCTAAAGGATATTCACTAAAAATATTATTGATTACAAATTGTTGACGTTTTAACATGTCCCATAATTTGCCCTTGGGGAAATGATAGGAAATACCTCCGGTATATTCAGCCAACGCTATTTGTAGTATTTCAGTCATTTGTACCAAGTAAGTCCATTGGTCTTTAGGTAATGGGGTAATTATGTGAGAAATGTCATTGCCCATCAAAGTTATACTTCTCTGTCTTCCTTGTTCAATTAATAATGCGATCTGGTCAGCATATGGCATAATATTTTTGGAGAATCTATGTTTTGTATAAATCCATTCTAAAGGAAGCTCATGCTGTCCCAGAACTGCAGTAGGATATTGAAATGTATTTAAGATATAAAGAGAAATAGGGGCTTGTAGATCTATTCTCTGAAGGAATGCATTTTTAATGAGTTGTTCTACAAAGGTCAATTCATCAGAGGCTTCTTTAGTAATTATTCAAGAACTATTAAGTGCAGAATCTCCTTGCAACAATGAAAACAGATGACTTAATTGATAAGTAGGTATCCCCAAAGAAGGTCATAACCAATTAATATCCCCTAATAATTTTTGAAAATCATTAAGTGTTTTTAAATTATCTCTCCTAATTGATAATTTTTGAGGAATTATCTTTTGTCTAGTAACTGTATATCCCAAGTAATTGATGACATCCTCCTTCTGTATCTTTTCAGGGGCAATTATTAGCCCATAAGGTTGAAAATAAATTGGCAATTTTTGTAATAAGTCATCAAGTTCCCGTTTATCAGGTCCTGAAAAGAGAATATCATCCATATAATGAGAAATATATAACTGAGGCCAATTTTTACGGATAGGTTTTAATGCTGCATCAACATAAATTTGACACATTGTAGGGGAATTCATCATTCCTTGGGGTAACACTTTCCATTGATACCTAAGATGAGGTCCTTTATGATTAATTTGCGGTAAATAAAAAGCAAAATGCTTATGATCAACAGGATGAACAGGAATAGTAAAGAAACAATCCTGTAAATCAATAACTACAATATGCCAATCTTTTGGTAACATAGCGGGAGAGGGGATTCCAGGTTGTAAAGCCCCCATGGGGTACATGGAATTATTCACTTCCCTTAAATCAGTTAATAATCTCCATTTACCAGACTTCTTTTTTATGACAATATAGGTGAGTTCCATGGGGATGTAGAAAATTCTATATGACCTTGTTGCAATTGTTCCTTGACCAACAGGTGAGCAGTATCTAACTTTTCTTTTGTTAAGGGCCATTGTTCAATCCATAAAGGGTCCTCGGATTTCCACATAATTCTCAGTGGCTCCATCTAGAATTGGTTAAAATTGAATATAAGCTCCCCATTGTTCTAAAATATCCCTTCCGATTATATTAAGAGGAACTTCTAGAATGTAGGGTTTTAATACAGCTATTTGTCCATCCTCTGATTGAATAGTTATATGGTTTAAAGCTTGGCCAATACTTTGGACGGGAGCCGAGCTAACTCCCTTAATGTGAAAGGGTATAATTTGATACTGAAAATTAGACGGCCAATCTTGAGTTTTTATTATAGTAATATCAGATCCTGTATCAATTAAAGCACTAATCATTTTAGTCCCTAGCTTTACTTTTATCAGGGGTTGCATTTTAGTAATTTGCATGGCCCAAAAAACACTTTGTGTGTCAGTACTGCCAAATCCGCCCTGCCTCTGATTAGAGGAATCCCCTATAGGGAGATAAGGTAATAAGAGAAGTTGGGCAATTCTTTCTCCTTTGGAAAAATGAACATCAGCAAGAGAATACATTAAAATCTGAATTTCTCCTTCATAGTCTGCATCAATAATGCCTAAATGGACAGTAATACCTTTAGCATTAAGGCTGGAGCGTCCTGTGAACAAAGCAAAAGTCCCTGGAGGTAGTGGCCCAAATATTCCTGTAGGTATTCTTTTAGGCATAGCACCACCCTGGAGATCAAAATCACTTAAGGCTGGGATGTCCACGGCGGCACTATGTTGGGTTGCGGGTTGTAGGGAAAAGATTGTGGGTTGCCCCCGTTTATTTGTCCAGGGCCTGGGGTCCGGCCCAATGGACCATTTCCCTGTACTGCAAGAGTGGCTGCATTTTTCGTTCTACATTCTCGAGCCCAATGTTTACCCTTTTTGCATTTAGGACATATTCCGGGCCCCCTAGTTTCCTTATCATTCTTTCGCTTACAATTTTTCCTCAGATATCCAGTCTGGCCACACCCAAAACACTTAATGTTAGCCAAATTTCGATTAGTATTCTGCAAAGCATGCCATGTAGAGGCCATGGTTTCAGCAAATAATTGCATCTTTCTCGATTCTGATGTTATATCTTTGCACACCTTTAAGTATGTATGAATATCTCCTGTATCTTTAATCGGTAAAATGGCTCATTTACAATCTTCATTAGCATTTTCATAAGCCAGCAAACGTAGTAATTGTTGCCTGGCAGCCTCTCCTACCACAGTTTGTTTAATTGTCAATTTTAATCTAGACAAAAATTCTACATAAGGTTCATTAGGTTTTTGTGAAACTTTTGTCCATGAGCCATAATGTTCTCCAGTAGGTCTAATTTTGTCCCAAGCTTCTAAAGCTATTTCCTTCAATTGCTCATGAATCTCAGGAGGAGTATTAATTTGATGTTGAATGTCATCATACATACCAGTGCCAGATAACATAGGGTATCCTATGGCACGAATAACAGGGTTTTGACTGTTACCATTTTCTCTAGCCTTAGTGGCATATCCTTCTAAAAACCACATGTGCCATTGAAGATATTCAGGTTCCTGTAAAAGAGCACGGCCCACAATCTTCCAATCCTCAGGAGCAAAATTATTGTAATGAGTAGTAAAAGCATTAAGCAATGTTTTTACATAATGAGATTGAGGTCCATACATTGTCACTGCCTTTTTTAATCTGCTAATATGATCAATATCAATCCCCTCATACCGAGGTGGCTGTGCCATTCTATTAGCTGGATCAGGCCTGATTATAGGAAAAGCAAAGAAAGGAGTTTCGTCCTCATCGTCAGAAGGTTCTGAGTCCATTTCCTGGACAGCCTTTAAAGAAGCTGCCAAAAAAGGATTGGTGGCTGGAGGGGCAGAGGGCCTGGTTCCCGATAAAGGCCTAGGGTCCATTTTAGCTTCTAATTTATTAAGACGTCCCCAAACCTCCTCCATAACAAGTTTGAATTGCTCCAAAATGGAGCGATCATCTATCATCATTTTTACTTTCGTTTTCTTTTCCGTAGCAGTACCAATTAAATCAGCAGAATTTTGTGAAGAATTATGAGTCAATTGTTGCGTATCTTTTACTACCTCTTCTTTTTCACTAACATCCAGAGGGAGATCTAAAATAGAGGGAGCTAGCTCCTTTTGTAAGTTGCCAATCAACCTTTCTTCCTCCATAGCTTTAAACATTGTATATAAAATAGACCAGATAGACCAAAACTGAATTGGAATTTTTTCACCTTGCCTCATGGCCTTTTCAACATTGTGACAGACCCATTTCCAATTATCCACATCCATAGATCCTTCCTCTGGGAACCAGGGATTCCATTCCCTGAACACCTTAAGACACATCTCTATATCAGAATGAGAAATATTAATACCATAGACAGCAAGTGAATGCCTAAGAATATGTAAAAAAAGGAGAAGATGAAGATTATCCCATCACCCTGTAATATAAAGAAAAATAACTTACCCTTCCTGTCAATCCAGCAGGGTCCCTGTTCGGGCGCCAATTGTGAACATCTAGAGCATTCGGGTCCCTGGGTAAGGGTCGCGAAATAACCAGGACACAGGGGATGCAGAGCCAAGGCAGCAATCGCAACTGCATGCTGAGGTTTATTTGCAAGTTCCTTTTATAAACTTCTTCTAACAAAGCAAGCAATTCTTCAATATCACATTGCCCACATTGTCCAAATATCATGCCTCAGTGGATACACAGAGCTAAATTCAGACTGTTCCTTTTTGTTTGATAAGTACCATCCTAAAGTTCTTTGTAGACATTATCTAGTCCCCTGAGGATGAATTTGTTTCTTTAGAATGTACTGTTATCAGGATAAGTATACAGAAAGCTTCTTCCTCTTGGCCAAACCATGCAGAACTTGTGACTTACGATAAGGGGAAGAGAACATTTCCTCCTCCTAACTGAGGTTTGCCTCAGCTGACCTAAATCATAGCCACAGCTCTTGCAAAATGTCAGGCCTTAGGGAGCTAAGCTCTGCACACTTAAACCCCAACAGGTCATAGTGACCAAAAAACAACCAACACAGTAGTTAAGGGTAAAAATGTCATGGGCCTTGGATGCCAGTGCAAAGAATTTACATTTGATTCTGCTAAGAATCTCCTAGAAAAGAATAACATTCAGAACAGACATGACCCAGTAGTGTAGTCTAGGTTTGCAAGAAGCAGACACAAAAAGGGGATTAAATATGTAAGTGTTTTATTAGGGGAAGTGCTTTACTGAGATAAAATGGAGCTGAACAAGATGAGATCTGATTTTTAGTGAAGGAGAGAGAAGGAGAAAATCAGGTGGTCCCAGGTGGACATAAAGTCTGAGGAAGACTCTGCAAAGCCCTGAGGCATCTTAGAACTGTCCAGGTGCTTTTTTGTCCTCCAGAAATGGTCCTGCATTGGTATCCTACCTCTATGAGACACTGGCTAGGAGTGGCCCCTGGGACACATGGCCTCTTGTAAATGCAGGAGGCTTTCAGATCTAGAAAATCACAGCCCTCAGTCTACTGTGCTCCCAGTTTGCTGGTCTGCAAGGTGCATCCTCATGTTGCTTGCCTGGCTGGCATTGTAGATGTGCACTTGGGCTGTTACAAGGTTAGCTGGAAAGGTGAGCAAGAGACATAATGATGAGCACAGAACTTTCCACCAGGGGTGCATGGGAAGCCCCAGATGGAACTTAGTGGAGGCCAGACAGAGGTGTGCACGTGCCAGGAGTTGGGCACTGCCTGGCTCCATTCCTGCTACCCAGTCTCCAGACACACAGCAAATCCCCTGTTTTCTTAAAGGAAATCAGGCATGTATTTTGGTTTCTGGCTTTTGTGCCATTTTTATAGCCTGGGCTTGATTTAGGTGTTATATGCCCCAACACTTGAAAGAACCTTTATTATTGTACTAATTTGTGAAGAATTTGTTGTTGCTATTTTTTTCTCCTTTCTTCTCTTCAGGGTCAGGCTGGAGCCAGGTCATTGTTATTAATTTTAGATCTGAAACTATATCAGGCATGGGCTGGTGTCCCCATACTTTTACTTCTTAAAACAGGAAGAAAGATCCCAGCTGAAGAGTGTGGGGAAGACAAGAAGCTGCTGAGGGCAGTGTTGCAGTAGAAATTACTAAACATACCTAGAAAGTACCACCATATTCAGAGAGAGTTTTTGTGTGGTTAAATAAAACACTTTTCCTGTCCTCCAACATCTGGTACACATAAGGGCCAGGTCTCCACCCACCATGGGTTGGAGAGTGGGAGGTGAGACTTGTATACATGGGTTCAAATCCAAGCTCTGTCACTTTCTAGTTATGTGCCTTTGGGAAAGAAACAAAGTCACTGCCTCAGTTTTTCCATCTGTAAAATGGGTGATATGATCTATTATGGCTAGTATGCTTTTAATCAAGGTAGTGAATTTTAATCACTGGAGTGCATGATGTAGACATTGCTTTCATATGTGTTAGCTGTTAGAACAGGTTGAGCCTTCCCAATCTGAAAATCCAAAATTGGAAAAGCTCCTTAACCCAACATGTTTTGGGTGCCAACACAATGCCCCAAATGGAAAAAAATTCTATTTCATACACAAAATTATTAAATAAATGATATAAAATTGTCTTCAGTCTATATATTTAAGGAACATATGTAACAAACAAATTTTATGATTAGACTTAAGTCCCATCCTCAGAATATCTTATTATGTCCATGCTAATATTAAAAAAGATCTGAAATAAAAAATGCTGCTGTTCCCAGGCATTTTGGATATAGGATACTGTACCTGTATTTACTCTGGATTTCCTGGCTGGTAGTGCTTAAATTTAGAACACATCAAGGAAGGTCTTAGGGATAAAATTTTTAAAATCCCACAATAAAGCAGTTATCAACTAAATAAACTTACTATTTTGCTTTCTAGTAGGTGTTACTAAGAAATAGTAAGACATTTAATGATACTTGCTAATGTTGACCAAACAATTTCTATGTGGCTGGTACTGAGCTAAATTCTGCATGTATGAACCAGAATAAGCAGCATGCAAAAGCAGGAGATCTGGATCAGGTCACCTGGTTCACAATTCTAGCTCTGCCACTCAGAAGCTACTTCCCAGTTCTTGTTCTTCTTTAACAATCTGGAAGTCAGAATCTCACTGCAGTAGGGTAAATTCCATCTCCCTGCAGCATGTCAAACCCCTGACTCTCAGTATGTCAGAAGGTGGGGCTTTTTTGGAAGTGGGGCCGCTGCAGATGTAATTAGTTAAGATGAGGTCACACTGGAGCAGGGTAAGCCCTTAATCCAATCTGACTGGTATCCCCATAAGAAGCTAGTGTGGGGCCGGGGACGTGGCTCAAGCGGTTGCACGCTCGCCTGGCATGCATGCGGCCCAGGTTTGATCCTCAGCACCACATACAAACAAAGATGTTGTGTCCGCCGAAAAACTAAAAAATAAATATTAGAAGCTAGTGTGAAGGTCCAATGGAAGATCAACCTGTGATAACAGGGACAGAGATTGGAGTGATGTAGCCACAAGTCATGGGGTACTGATGGTCAGTGGCTACCACCAAAAGCCAGGGAGTGACAAGGACCTATTCTGCCCAGAGTTCCAGAAGAACCATGTCCCAGCTGAGAATTTTATTTTAGTCTATATCCTCCAGAATGTGAGGGGAGCTTTATGCTATGGGCAATCAGTTTATGGTATGTTATGATGTCAACCCCTTACTTAACAGGGACCACTGAAGCCACCTGAAGTCCTGTAAGCCAGGAGATGTGAGCCTTCTGTTTCTGCTGCCCAGCCTCTCCGAGATGGTTCATCCTGTTTAGGTTCAGGTTTGTGCCTTGTCATGGGGGTGAAGTTTCCCTTTTTCTGCAGGTCATGGTTATATCTGGAAAACCATTTTGAAGTGCTGCACTCCCAAAGCCCTCTGAAGGAGGTGAGCTTCTGGAAACAAAACTAGCCCTTATATGAGTTTAGATAGAGACTATCACTGTGGTTTAAACACTGTCCATCAAACACTTTAGAATGAAAAGACTAACTATTTCCAGCACTCATGGTCAGGAGGAAATCTAAGACCTGGGTGTATGCCCCTGTGTGTTGCTTCTTCTTCTCTCTTATTTTTTTCTTTTTAAAAAATTTATTCTAATTTGTTATATATGACAGAAGAATGCATTTCAATTCATATTACACATATATACCACAATTTTTTATATCTCTGGTTGTACACAAAGTAGAGTCACACTATTTGTATATTCACACATATACTTAGAGTAATGATGTCAATCTCATTTCACTGCATTTTCTACTCCCTGCCCCATCCCTTATCTTCCCTCCCCTTTGTTCTATCTAGAGTTCATCTATTCCTCCCATGCTCCCCCATCCACATTATAAGTCAGCAACCTTATATCAGAGAAAAAATTTGGCATTTTTTTTTAGAATTGGCTTACTTCACTAATTTTTTAATTCCATCTATTTACCTGCAAATGTCATGGTTTTATTCACTTTTAATGCTGAGTAATAGTTCATTGTTTATATATACTGCAGTTTCTTTATCCATTCATCTATTGAAGGGCATCTGGGTTGGTTCCACAGTTTAGCTATTGTGATTTGAGCTGAGCTGATATGAACATTGATGTGTCTGTGTTACTATAGTATGCTGATCTTCAACAGCCCCATGGGCAGATAGGGCAAAAATTCCCACAGATGAGAAATTACATCAGAGCACAACAATCAAGTTTGTCCCAATATAAACCAGTAGGGGTACTGGAATGTAGGTCCCACCACCCTGGGTTGGAGTGTAAATCTACTGGGTGGTAAAGAGCTTGGGCAGGCACAAACCTGTGGCTTCACCAGATTGAGGTTCTGATGGAGTTGGTGTCTGTTGCAAACTTCTATTTCAACATACTAATTTTAAAAACAGGAAAGCATAAATTCTAATCACTGAATTATTCCCTTTATTAAGAATATTACAGTACAGAAACTGGATGTCTTTTTCAAATTAAAAAAATGTAATGACACCATTATACACAATTATAGCATAATATTAGAAACAACAATAAGGCAAACATGGCATTCAGATTTCTCACAGAACACATTTTCCTCCAGATTAAAATTTTTTGTTCAGAGGTATTATTTGTATATCTTTATGGGGTATAGCACAACAATTTAATATATGTATACAAGTTTTATTATGCAACATTAACTTTACTTCCAGGAGGTCACTATAGTGTAATCATCTCTTAGGTTTTTTGTGATTAATTACTGCATAGAATTCATACTGTGACAGAGTCAGAGAGACTGTCTCTGTATGCCCTTAAAGAATAGGGACATTCTAGAATTTCAAATATGCATTGATGCAAGACATATGAGGCTCATCACTTGTGGAATTTTTGGGAAACAGTTTTATTTAAGCTGCAGCAATTCAGAGGGGCTATTGCCAAAAAAGTCTCTGGACCCTAGGTCTAGAAAATTTCTGAGATTTATACTCAGTGTGTGGTTACACAACAGAGTGGTTAACATAATAGTTGTTTTTTGTTGCATGTTCTTAGGTTAGACAGAGATTTCACAAGTTTTTACTAAGAAAACAGAAACAGTAAGTTTTGCACATTACCAAGCTTGATTGCAGATCTGTTTTTTTTT